AAAAAACTCTACAGAAGTGACCTCAGACAAAACCAGCTAGCATTTTGTTCCTTCTACTGTTAAACATGTAAAAATGTGAAAATATCTTTCAGCTGTGCAGGACATTCTAAGTTGCTGGGCTTCGTTTATGAGCTGGAAGTGAATAGAGGAAGTAGGAACAAGGGAATATACAGGACTAAGTCCCACAAAGTGTATTCCCAGTAAACTTCCAAATGAGACGTAAGCCCCAAATGACTAGCCCTGTGTGAAATCGCTGTTTTGTCCCTGTGATGAAAATAGTTCTACGTCTAGGACTCCCTTTTCCATTTTCTAGCATTACTAGTTGTTAATTTTTCAAATGATTCTTAAGGGTCAAAACTCTGAAGTAAGCTTTGAATGTTTGCTTTAATTGCACTATAACTTTCTACCTAAATTGCATTTGTTAAACAGGCTTTATAACCTAGAGATGATGATTCTACAAGTACTGCTATTGTGACTAAGTCCTTAAAACATAAATTGTCAGCTCAGCACCTGTAGCTCAGCAGCTAAGTACACCCGCCACATACACTGGAGCTGGCAGGTTCAAATCCAGCCTGGGCCTGTCAAACAACAATGACAACTACAACCCTGTTTCCCCCCAAATAAGACCTACCCCCAAAATAAGCCCTAGCAGGATTTCTATGCATCTGTTAACTATAAGCCCTACCCCAATAAGAAGACCTAGTGATGGGCGTGGCTATGCAGATATGCTGCATTTCAGTGCAGAGTGGTAAGGAAGACTGGAGTACCTTTTATCTGCCACCTTTTATCTGCTCCTTTCTCCAAGCCGTTGGCACTTGCACGGGTACGTGTGTGGTAACCGCAGCAGGCATCCTATTGTGCACATGCGAATGGCTAGGGGAAAGGAGTTCATGCATCACTAGCACCAGCCCCACCAATAAGGTCGACTCCCCCGTCAGGTTCCAGAAGATGACTTAACTGTATTTGAATAAATGTAGATTGTTATATTATACTTAATAAAAATAAAACATCCCCTGAAAATAAGCCCTAGTGTGTCTTCTTGAGAAAAAATAAATATAAGACAATGTCTTATTTTTGGGGAAACATGGAACCAAAAAATAGCCAGGCGTTGTGGCAGGCACGTGTAGTCCCAGCTACTTGGGAGGTTGAGGCAAGAGAATCCCTTAAGCCCAAGAGTTTGAGGTTGCTGTGAGCTGTGACACCATGGCACTCTACCAAGGGTGACATAGTGAGACTCTGCCTAAAACAAGCAAAAAGAAAAACATATACATTGTCATTATAAAAATAGAAAACTGCATTGTTTCTTCAATCAACTTAATTTACTGTATGTAAATTATACCTCAATAAAGTAATGTGTCCATTTTAAATGTGTAGGTAGGTGAGATTTGATAAAGGTGCAGCTGTATAACCACCACCACTGTCAATATAAAGAACATTTTCATCACCCCAGTGATTTACAGGGGGAATCATACAGTGTGTCGTCTCCTGTGTCTGGCACCGTTCACTTAGCATGATGCCTTTTAGCATCCCGGTTGTTACGTTCATCAACACAGTTCATTCTGAGACTGCCAAGCAGTGTTCTATTTACAGAAATAAGCAGTAAATAAGCAGTAAATTTCTTCACTGATTAATAAATATTTGGGTTGTTTCCTGGGTATTAGCTATTGCTCAGTAACAAATTACTTCCAAAGTTAGCTGCTTAAAACAACAAACTTTTTTTAAAACCTTTTTTATATAAACATCATGAAATACTAACAAAGACTTTTCATCTCATACTTTCTGTAGGACAGAAATCTAGGCATGGCTTAGCCAAGCCTCTGGCTCAGGGTCTCTTACAAGAATGCAGATAAGGCATCCGTAAAGGCTATGGGCTCATCTGAAGGCTCGCAGGATAGGGAAGACAGAGACTCAGTTCCAAGCTCGTTCACCAGCCTGGTTGGCAGGACTCAGGACAGTTGCTGCCATGCACAGACACACAGCTGCCCTCAGCAGAAACTATCTAAAAAGTACAGAGCACACATTCCCAAAACAGAAGCCACAGTCTCCTGCTTGTAATCTGCTCCTGCAAGTGGCATCTCATCACTTCTGTTGTATTTTATTAGAATTTAACCAGTAAGTCTAGCTGCATTGAAAAGCAGGAGGTATAGGGGGTGCCTGTGGCTCAAGGGAGTGGGGCACTGACCCCATGTGCCAGAGGTGGGCCACCTTGGAGTCTGCCTCTGCTGATGTGAGCAGAGCTACCATGAAGATTTACATACAAATCTTTATGTGGATGTATGTTCTCATTTCATTTTAATGGACAACTAGCTTAGAGTAGGATTTTTGACTTTTATAGTAAGTGTTTACCTGAGTAAGAAATGGCCAAATTGTTTCCTAGAATGGCTGTCCTGTTTTTTGTTCTCTCCAGCATCGTAAGTTCTAATCGCTCCATTTTAGACGGCACTTGGTATCGTCTTATCTTTTACATTTTAGGCATTTTAATGATTTGTAATATTTCATTGTGGTTTAAATGTCATTTCTCTAATCACTAATTATTTGAACATTTATTTGTGGCCCTTTCTGTCATTCGTACAAATCCTTTGTGAAATATCTGTTCATAATTTGGGGGGTTCTTTTTCCCCAATTACTTAATTGAGTTAATTTGTCTTATTAACTGTAAGTTATTTATAAAACATTCTGAAAACCATTTTCTTTGACATATATGTGATTTAGAGATTTAGAAACATTTTCTCCCAGTTTGTAGCTAGTTTGTTCATTCTCTTTTTTGGAGACAGAAACTCACTTTGTTGCCCTGGGTACAGTGCCATAGCGTCACAGCTCATAGCAACCTCAAACTCTTGGGCGCAAACGATTCTCTTGTCTCAGCTTCCCAAGTAGCTGGGACTACAGGCACCTGTCACTGTGCCTGGCTATTTTTTTTTTTTGTTATTGTTGTCATTGTTGTTTAGCGGGCCCTGGCCAGATTTGAACCCACCAGCCCTGGTTCATGTGGCCGGTGCCCTAACCACTGAGCTATGGGCACTGAGCCCTGGCTAGTTTTTCTATTTTTAGTAGAGATGTTGCTCAGGCTGGTCTTGAACTTGTGAGCTCAGGCAATCCACCTGCCTCAGCCTCCCAGAGTACTAGGATTATAGGCGTGAACCATGACACCTGTCTTTAACACTGTCTTTCAGGGAGCAAATGTTATTTAATTTGACAAAGTCTACTTTATCAGTGTTTTATTTTATGTATTATTCTTTTGTGCTGTATTCTAGGAAATCTTCGTAATCTTAGAAATCTTTATGTAACTCAAGGTTACAAAGATTTCCTTCTATGGTTTGTTTCAGAAATTTGATAGTTTTAACTCTTATTTTTTATGTCTGTGATCCACTTTTTGTTAATTATTGAATAAGGTGTGAATCAAGTTTCTTTTTTTTAATAGGAGTATCCAGTTGTTCTAGCATTATTTATTGAACAGACTTTTGCCATTGAGTTACTTTGGCCCTTGTGAAAATCAATTGACCTCATACGTATGGTTTATTTCTGAACTCTCACTTCTGTTCTATTGATCTATGTGTCTATTCTTTCACCAATATGATGACAGTCTTAATTACTATAGCTTTACACACTCAGTAATTCTTAAAATTAGGCAGCATGAACTCTACAACTTTGTTATTCCATCTCACATTCATTTTGGCTAATCTAAGTCTTATGCATTTCCATGTACATCTTAGAATAAGCTTGTTAATTTCTGTCTGGAGTTCTGTTGAAATTTTTAGTGGGATTGCTTTAAATCTGTAGATCAATTTGGAGAATTAACGCCTCCACCATATTGACTATTTGATCCAGGAAGACCATCTGTCTTTATTTATTCTGATGTTCTTTAATTTATCTCAGCAGTATTTTGTAGTTTTCAATGATAGTTCTTGCATGTATATTGTTAAATTTATCTCCTTAGTATTTTGTGGGTTTTGATGTTATTATAAATGGTATGTTGGTTATAAAAATAAATACACGTTGGTTTTAAGTTTTATCTTCCTAAAAGTCCTCTCCTATTAGGACTTTGAATATGACCAATATAAAATTCTGAATAACCTAATTAATTTTATTGAGTTACAACTAGAATTCTAGTTGCATAAGTAAATTTCTCATATCAGTTATTTGTATGGACTTACCTGGAGACTACTTAGCAGGCTGAACATTTCCATTAGGTATCTGAGCTATTTTGAAATCTTAAGTTTGAAACTTAGTGTTTGAAAGGGCTTATATGAATAATCAAAGATTATTTTCTTGCCCTTATTGCCATGGAAATTCCAACAATTTTAGAAGCTCTGGGGGAGATAAAGACCAGATTTATTAATATACATATTTATCAGAGGTAGTTATCCTGAAGGTAACTGTTACCATTGATAATATAAAGTATTCTGGTGTTTTCATGGTGCAACTGGAAATGACTAGGAGTTTAAAATGTTAAGACAAATTTGAATTTTCCCTAATTTAAATTTCAACCAACTTGTTTCTCTCTCTCTCTTTCTTGTTTATCTAGATGGCTTTGGAAGATTCAGAACAGAAGCACAATCTTTTACATTCAATTCTAACTGATCTAGAAGACTTGTCAATAATTTTTGAAACAAATGACTTAACACAGTCCATACAAGAGTTAACTAATCAAGTAACAGCTTTACAACAACAAATAATGGCACGGCTTCCACAGATTCAGCGACTGGCTAATGTAAGTTTGTATCATAAAAATATGATTTCTTATTTTTATATTCATTCAGTAAATTAGAGTTGTACAACTAAGTCCTATACCACAATTCGGTCTGAAGAGACATTGATCTGGTTAATTTTTCATTTATGTTCATACTTCTTGAATTGCATTTGATTTTACTTTGTAATCTGTAGTGCACCTGCAACAAAAAGCATCTCCCTCTCTCAACTCAGAAACTGTTTGTGTAAAGAGTGAAGAATCCTGATCAAATAAACTCAGTGTTTTCTCTATGTCAAAGAGAAAATATTGTTGATTTAAGAGCCCTTGTTAGGAAAGAGGGAAGTAAAGCAGGTAACCTCCCATCTCCGTTCACCAATAGCAAACATTTGTTGAGGAGCGTTGTATGCCAGCCTCTGGATTTTTTATTTTTGCTTGAAACATCTGAAGCATTTATGTAAGGATAAGGTCACCCATAAAGGCAATTATGGTTTGTTCTTTAATCACTTGCTTTTGTTTCCCAGATCCATTTTCTACACCATACTCATGTATCTTCATGGAAAAATAATTGTTAAAGTAAATATTCTTGGTTACTGAAGTTTATTCTAAATTTTTGTGATCCTTCTACAATTTTTGATGGAAAGTACCCTAAAATACATTGTATATGTACCTTCTTAAATAGTAGGTGCAGAAAATAATTTCAATGGAATTTAGCTTTCCTCAGAGTTGGGAGAGACAACACTGTAAATAGTTACTATACTTCTTGATTCATTTGCTTTTAGTAATTCAAGTGTTATTTGTCCCTTTGTCGAATGGCTCCACACTCTGATTTGAAACCCTTAATCTATCTCTTTGCCATTTTTCATCTCCTTCATTATTAGCTGTATTTGCTACAGTGTATCTGCATTGAGCTCTAAAGTAAGGTCTGAAGGCTCATGTGCAGTTGTGTGGACTTTAATATGCGGGATTGCAGCACATAATTTATTTTTGCAGCATTTTTTTTTTTTTTTGAGACAGAGTCTCTGTTGCCTTGAGTAGGTGTCATAGCTCACAGCAACCTCAAACTTTTGGGCTCCAGCAATCCTCTTGCCTCAGCCTCCCAAGTAGCTGGGACTATAGTCATGTGCCACTTGCTCAGCTAGTTTTTGGTTGGTTTTTTTTTTTTCTTATTTTTAGTAGAGATAGAGTCTCACTCTTGCTCAGAATGTTCTTGAACTGAGCTCAGCTAATCCACCCATTCGACCTCCCAGAGTGCTAGGATTACAGGTGTAAGCCACTGAGCTCAGTCTTTTGTAGCATTTTTACTTGAAGGTTGTGGCCAGTTTCTGGAAGTTGAAGTTGACGAGAGAATAACCAACCACTGGACAAATTATCTATTGTTTAAATTAATCTGAGTGGGTTATAAAGTAACTCAGTGACACTCTACTTGGCAACACTTCTCAGGAGGCTGGCAAGAAATTCCCTTCAATTTTCTATCTCCTGAGTGTTAGTTTCCTAAGGGTGACTTTATCATTTACTTAAAGTGATGAGAGTTTTTTTTTTTTTTTTTTGAGACAGAGCCTCAAGCTATCCCCCTGGGCAGAGTGCCGTGGCATTACAGCTCACAGCAACCTCCCACTCCTGGGCTCAAGCGAGTCTCCTGCCTCCGCCTCCCAAGTAGCTGGGACCACAGGCGCCCGCCACAACGCCCGGCTATTTTTTTGGTTGCAGCCGTCATTGTTGTTTGGCGGGTCCGGGCTGGGGATTCGAACCCGCCACCTTAGGTGTACGTGGCTGGCGCCTTAGCCCGTTGAGCTATAGGCGCGGAGCCATGATGAGAGTTTTTAAAATGTCATACTCACTTGCATTTTGTGTTCAAACACATTCCAAAGATAAATCTAGCTGGGTGTGGTGGCTCATGCCTGTAATTCTAGCACTCTGGAAGGCCGAGGCAGATTGATTGCCTGAGCTTAGAGGTTCAAAACCAGCCTGAGCAAGTACAAGGCTCCCATCTCTAAAAATATCCGGACATTGTGGTGGGCACCTGTAGTCCCAGCTACTTGGGAGACTGAGGCAAGAGAATTGCTTGAGGCTAAGAGTTTCAGGTTGCTGTGAGCTATGATGCCATGGCACTCTACCAAAGGCAACAAAATGAGTTTTTCTCCAAAAAACAAAAAGATAAATCTAATGAGTTTATTTTTAAAATTGATTAGATGCATACTACCTTTATTCTCACAGTTTAAGTAGTTTAAAAAAAGACCCTATAATGATCTTTTTAATTCAACAAGACATACAAGCTATGCTTTGTAGTACGGTATGTTATTAATAGAGTAACATTTTTGTTGAAAACAGTGAACATGATCTATGTGTAGTACTTGGTTAATTATTTTTTTCATAGAGGCATTTCATCATCAAGTACTTGGTTAATTTTCAAGAGGTATAAGGGGGAAACATTCTATGGCTAAAAGAGAGAAGAGGATTAATGGCCATAGTTGTGTTTATTATAGATTATTGTGTACATTATGGATTATTAATGTACTACATATATTGCATGATTGTGTTATTGTTTCTGAAATTCCAGGATGTGGTTGCTATTGAATCTGAAGTAAAATCAATGGAGAAAAAAGTTTCAAAAATCAAAACTATCCTGTTATCAAAAGAAATATTTGATTTTTCACCTGAAGAACATCTTAAACATGGGGAGGTAAGCATGGATCATTATTAAAAATATTTTCTTATAATACTTATCATATCTACTTAAAGATGTGATGTAATAAAAAGCATTTGCTCTTACTAGAATAACAGCAACGTAAGGTTGGGAAGTAGATGTGAATGACCATAAACAGATTTTAAATCATAGTTGTAGTATTACCTATGTAAAAATAATTTCCCGGGAGGGTAGTTTTTCATTTAGGTCAAATCAAAAAGCTCGAGCATCGAAGTCTGGCTGAACTTTTTCAGCTTGAGCTGTGCACTGGCTGTGTGTCTATTAGTAATTAATGTTTCTTAGATTCTCTTTTCTGTCTGTGCATTGGTATTGAAGTGATTATATTGACCAGTTATAACATAGATAAAGACCCCAGTACAGGAGCTGGGATGTATTAAAACAGCAGGCAAAAGTGCATTTCTCCTCAACCTCGTGATTGACAGCATGTGGTTTGATTTGCCAGGCCCAGTCTCTGATCCCAACCCAGCCTCTTACAGCCTAAGTTTACCTAGATCTTTAAACTTCTGTGAACCCAGTTTCCCCACCTGTGAAATGGAGGTTAGGGTACTTACCTTGCAGGCTGGTTGTGAGGATTCAATGAAATGATATTCTAGGAAGTAGCACTTAGTAAAGTGAATACTCTTTTCTAATTGATTGGTTATGTAAATCCAGATTTCTAAGAATCAGATGTTATTAAAGCAAAATAAAATTATACTCCTGGGACTCAGGAAAATTAACAGGACAGTTTCGTTCCATTCAATAAGCATGTTTTGAGGGCCAGCTATTGGGGACGGGCAATGCTGTGTGAAGTTCAACACCTCCCTTACACTGCTTGCTGCCTGGCAGCGATGTACAGGGCAAAACAAGTTTTGCAGAGAGTGGGGAGAGAGAAAAAGAAGAAAAGTGTTGTCCAAATGCATAAATTAGTCTTGGTAGGTTGCTTTTGCCCCAGGCATTCTTTCTGGAGACTTTTACCTGCCAGATCATGAGTGATACAATAGTTCTTTTCAATCTGAGCTAACAAAATGTTTCAAAAATTAAAGTTACAGATTAAAGACTAAATTATATAGTATTTCATTTTGAATAATTCAACTTAGCAGTGGCCATTACTTTTCCGTTTTGGTGACATGCTTCTCCTATATAATTAAGGTCATACTTGAAAATATACGTCCCATGAAGAAATCCATTGCTGAGATAGTGTCTTACCAAGTGGAACTGAGGTTACCCCAGACAGGAGTGAAACCTCTGCCCATGTTTCAGCGGACAAATCAGCTTTTACAAGATATAAAACTGTTGGAAAATGTGACTCAAGAACAAAATGAGTTACTAAAGGTGAGCGGTTTATGATGACAGCCAACTTATTGGATGAGAATGTTCAGCAAAAGCTGGTTTGTTTCCAGTTTTCATTACAGTTAATTATTATCCAGAAGGCAGCATTTGTTATAAAAGCATATTTCTGTGCTCACATGGGGCTGAGGCTATTTTTCTCATTAAAGCATAGTTATGGCTTATTGAATTCTATTCTATACTTAGTGAAAACTTACATGGGTAAAATGACGTGGGAAGAGAATCAAGCCTGAACAAGGCATTTCCAAACTCCTGAGGTGAACAGATCTGTAAAGTAATCATCACCACAATATTGTCTTATCTGTCTTGGTCACTTTCCTATTGATCATCTCATTTTATTCTCAAACATGTGAAATAGATAGAGCAGGCACTTTGTCATCTTTATTTTTACATGTAAAGAGACTAGTGTCAGTGGCTTAAATGACTTGCCAAAGACCACAGAGTTTACTCCTGTAGACCTTAATTGTGTACAAATAGAATTTGAGTTTCCAAATTCCTAGTGTCATTTCTCCATACTGGGGTTCTCTTCCCTCTAACCAACATCTCTCAGCCTCTCCCCAGAGTATTTTTTGTTGTTGTTATTTTGAAGTTTTGTTGGCTCACCAGTTTCAGGTCTGAAATCAACCTTACTTAGAAATTACCTTTTTCTTGAATTTGTATTCTTAGATCAGCAACCACTCCCAAAAGAACAGAAAAGTGCTTAAAGAGCCTTAAATTCCACAGACTTTCAACCCTCTATAGAGACCCCCTGTATGCTGGGTTTCTTAATTATTTGGGTCAGTCTAGAGTAGTGATTTTGAACTGGTGTGCCCTTCAAAAGGTGTGCCACAAAAAGTTTTAAAGATCATTAATTGAATTGTTTTTAAAAGACATTCAAAGAACAATAAGAATATTCTTCTTTTTTTTTTTTTTTTGAGGCAGGTCTCACGATGTCACCCTTGGTAGAGTACCCTGTGTCACAACTCACACCAACCTCAAATACTTGGGCTTAAGCAATTCTCTTGCCTCAGCTTCCCAAGTAGCTGGGACTACAGGTGCCCGCATTAACACCCGGCTTTTTTTTTTTTTTTTTAAGTTGTAGATGTCATTGTTGTTTATCAGGACCAGGCTGAGTTCGAACCCATCAGCCTCCGTGTATGTGTCTGGCACCCTAACCACTGAGCTACGGGTGCTGAGCCAGAATATTCTCTTTTTTTATTCTTTTTTTTTTTTTTTTGATCAACCTAATTTAAGTGTGTTGTGGAAGTTCAACTATAAGTTCAAATGTGCTGTGAGATTAAAAAAAAGGTTGAAAAACACTATTCTAGAGGTTGATTTTCCTCCTTTACCACCATCTGGTTGTAAGAGGAAAACTGCAGTATCTTATTTCCTCTTAAATTGTATTCACAGTTCAGTGGCCACTCTGTTCTCCTAAGTACTGAGGAAATTGTGCTCTCTGGTTGGAGGTTTAACTCATACAGTCTGTCTAGCTTTGCCACTGATCAACAGATGTCCTTCCCTAATAGCCAAAGAAAGTAAAAAGACCTGGCACTCAATATACTTTTTTTCTTTGAGATAGGATCTTGCTTTGTTGCCCAGGCTAGAGTATGATAGAGGGATGATAGCTCACAGCAACCTCAGACTTCTGGGCTCAAATTATCCTCCTGTCTCAGCCTCTTGAATAGCTGGAATTCCAGGTGGGCAGAACCATACCTGGCTATTTTTTTTTCTTTTATTTTTTGTAATGATGGAGTCTCACTATGTTGCCTGGACAACATAGTAAATTCCTGGCCTCAACCAATCCCCTAGCCTCAGCCTCCCAAATTGCTGGGTTACAGATGTGAGCCGCCACATCCATCCTCAATGTATAATATTTTTTGTATTAAAAATATAAAATATGATCTAATTATTTTTAATTCTTTTGTCCTTTATTATTCCTGTCCTGATGGTTAGGAAAATAACAGTTCTAACTATGCTTTAAAGTGGCTTCTTCAAAATGTGAAAGTGGGGAATAGAAGAGGAAATTATATTTTATGCCTAGTTGGGTATCACACTATGTAACTAACATTTTCTATATTATTGTGTTGGTGGAAATCAGATGTCACCTCATATATTAAAGCTAAATAAGCCGATGGTAATGAAAACAATTAGAATATGAGACATGTTATTTAATTCCTATTTCAGATATTCTTTTTTTTTGAGACAGAGCTTCAAGCTATCCCCCTGGGTAGAGTGCCGTGGCATCACAGCTCATAGCAAACTCCAACTCCCAGGCTCAAGCGAGTCTCCTGCCTCAGCTTCCCAAGTAGCTAGGATCACAGGCGCCCACCACAATGCCCAGCTAATTTTTGGTTGCAGCCATCATTGCTGTTTTTGGCAGGCCTGGGCTGGATTCAAACCTACCACCTTAGGTGTATGTGGCTGGCACCTTAGCCACTTGAGCCACAGGCACTGAGCCCCTATTTCAGATATTCTAAGTGCCCTTGTGGAAAATAAAACAAATTATTTTGTGGAGAGTAATAGGATATAGTTCATTATTGAAGGCTGGGGAACAGGTGTGTGTGGTGAACAGTGATGTTTATTCAAGCCTGCAGCTCAAATTATGGTTAAATATTAAAAGAAATATAAGGAAGAATCCTGCATTGTCTAGAAACTGTAGTTTGAAAGGGCATTTTGCTTTTTTTTTTTTTTTTTTTTTTTTTGAGACAGAGCCTCAAGCTATCCCCCTGGGTAGAGTGCTATGGC